GTGTGTGTGTGTGTGTGTGTGTGTGTGTGTGTGTGTGTCTGTGTGTAGATATGTATTTGAGCATATAAATGTTTGTATTTGATTTTATATTGTCATTTTATTAATAAGAGAGTTTTAATATTCCTCACTGGTGATAATACAGCTCAACCATATAATTATGCAGCCAATATTATCACTATCAACATAACTGCAGGTGTCGCTCATGCGAGTGAATTTTAGATCCATATGGTTCTGCGGGTTAATTGTTCACTTTAATCTTCAGATAATGGGTAAATACGACATAAATCACTTCAACTTAAATGCATCGGGAAGCAATATTAATATGGACCATTTTGTTTCATTTTATATCAGCACTGCTTAATAAGGAACACCTTTACGGCTATAATTACCCACATCATCTAATTTCATCGGCGTATGGAATGAAGCAATTAGTCACAGCTTATCCCACAGGATAGAAAAACCGCCATGGCTCCGTATAAATAAAAAGTTTATTTTTAAATGATTGATACAAAAAGACATACTGCGGCACAACACTTTCAGACACCCCACATCTCAAACACATCATACCTCAACAAGCGCCATTTTTAGTCTAACATTAACACATTTTTTTCTAGTTTATTTGAAATCTACAGGATTTTTTCTAGACCATAATCGACCTTGGTGCATGAAACCTTATGGTCTATTATCCTTTAATTCCACACAATAAATGCCTATCTGGCACTAACCTCGAAATGGCGAAATTATGCTCACTGACGGGACTCAACCCGGAGGGCCCCGGAGCAAGCAATGTGGGAAATGGGACATGCAATCTTATATTTTCTTACATTTTGTAATTATCTAATTGAAGAAGCTGCGAAGACGCGCTCTGAATAACTATATACAAATTATTTTTTGAGACACGGTATATTAATTTCATCCACATTTTAAGACATTCCATTCCATAATGGTCTCTCTGATCTGACGTGTTAAGGAAAGACTTTGCGTAATTGGTAACAACATAATCATCTAGCCATCATACATATATAAATCATACTATTAATGATATGTACACTGATTTACCATATACATATATATACACACACACAAAGTGAAATGCACTAGAGAATTTTTGATGAATATGCAATTCATTGTAATGAATATAACCAAATAAATTAATAAATAATAGTAATAATAATAATAATTGAATAAAGTGAATAAATAAAAGATAATACTAAGGAACACCTTGACACAGCATTTGTTCTAATCACGTGATATAACGTCACCAGCAAACTTCATTGGTTGCATAAAGTTGCGAAAAAAAAATTTTTGTGTGTGTGTTTCCCTGCATCAACGAGGTGGCAATAAAGGAGTACATAAATGAACTGCAATCAGTTGCAACATAGCTTGGAATGTTTCTATTTTTTGCTGCAAGATTTAAATTTTCTTCATAAAATGATAACCATATGGCATTAAAAAAGAAAAGTGGAAAACATATAGCATACAATTTCACAATGCCACAATCACAAATTATTTGACCCTTGAGTATACACACAATAAGGCTTAGATTCTTCTGGTTCTACTCCACGAACACTAAATGCACAGAAATAAAACAAAATTTGACAACGAAAAACAAAAAAACTATCGAATTGATAACAAAATCACACGGCGACGATATAAACCTAAAGTGTTTGCAACGAAATCGACTCTATGGCAGTGGTGACGAAAGCCCAAATTGGCTTGCCTCGTCACTAACTACAGGTAAGTACTCTCTTAGTAGACTAGAAGGTAACCTAAGATAATGTAAGAGAGAGAGAGAGAGAGAGAGAGAGAGAGAGAGAGAGAGAGAGAGAGAGAGAGAGAGAGAGAGAGAGAGAGAGAGAGAGAGAGAAACAAACAAAAGACAGAGAAAGAAAATTTCAGGAAAAAACACTAAAAAATAGGAGAAAGAGAAAGAGATGCAAGAAAAAAGAAAGAAAAAAAAAGACATGGTGAATTTGCAAAACAAAAGGCAAGGACAAAGCACGCAACACAGATTCACCACAGAGCAGACCAGGCTCGCAGAGCCAAGTCACACCATAATAACACTCTCATCAGTAATAATACCGATAATGATAATAATGACAATAAAAACTGATCATCACATGTTTAAAGAAAATCGTACAAAAATCACAAAGTTTGGCTTGTGGCCCCGTCTGGAACACAACACGAGACTAAATGTCGCCTCTCTCCTGTTTTTCCACGTAATATCAAAACTCTCTTTTTTCTAATCTTCCTTACTTATCTAACCCTTCTTACATAAAATCAAATACATAAAACCCATCATTATTTCCTTTTCAGAAAGAGCGAAGAAAAACAGACGAGAAAAATAGAAAGAAAAAGAGAAAAATTGGTCGACTAGTCATAAACATGTAACTAGCGACCGCACTTTTTTGGTTTCGAAATGATCCTTTGGCAGTGATTCCGTGGTTCAGGCCCGGGGTGGGGAGGGAGAAGGGAGGGGGAAAGGGTAAGGGGTGAGGGAAGAGGAGAGGGATTGGGGGAGAAGATGGGGTGGAGAATGGGAGGAGGGGGGCGGGGAACAGGGGGGAGAGGAGAAGGAGGACGGGGAACTGGGGAAGGGGGAGATGTGGAGGAGAGGGACGGGGAGATGTGAAAGAGGGAAGGAGGAGGGGAGGAGAAGGAGGGGAACTGGGAAGGGGAGTGTGGAGGAGGGGGACGGGGGAGATGTGAAAGAGGGAAGGAGGAGAGGAGGAGAAGGGCGGGGAACTGGGGAAGGGGGAGATGTAGAGGAGAGATAGGGGAGAGGAGGAGGGGGAAGGGGGAGATGTGAAAGACGGAAGGAGGAGAGGAGGAAGAGGACGGGGACCTGGGGAAGGGGGAGATGTAGAGGAGGAGAGATAGGGGAGAGGAGGAGGGGGACGGGGAACAGGGGGATGGGAGAGGTGTGAAAGAGAGAAGGAGGAGAGGAGGAGGAGGGCGGAGAACAGGGGGAAGGGGATAAGTAGGAGAGGAAGAGGGAGACGGGAGCAAAGGGTTGGGGAAGATGAGGAGGAGATAAGGAGAGGAGCAGGGTAAAGAGAGAGAAAGAGAGAGAGCGAGAAGACGGATGAAGAAAGGGGGAGAGGGACGAGCAGAGGAAGCAGGGAAGACGGAGGAAGGGATGAAGAGTTAGAGAAGAAATGGGGACAGGAGAAGGAACGAAAGAGCGAGAGAATAGAAGAGGAGAGGTAAGAGAAGCGGGAAGGAAAACAGAGACCGAGGAAGTGGGGAAGAAGGAGACAGGATAGCAGAGAAGGGATAAAGGGGAGGATGGAAGAAGGGGAAATGAGGGATATATTAGAACAAGGGAAGGGAAAGGGGCGGGGCAAAGGGGAGTGTACAACGAAGGCAAATTGTAGATGTGCAGTAATTCATCCTTCTGTTGAGCCGATGTGTTTGTATGTACATTTATTGAGTGAGGAAGGTGGGAAGGAGTATATACTTACATACATATATATATTATATATATATATATATATATATATATATATATATATATATATATATATATATATAATATATATATATATATATATATATATAATATTATACAACATGTATATATATATATATATATATATATATATATATATATATATATATATATATATATATATATATATATATATATATATATATATATATATATATATATATATATATATATATATATATATATATATAATATATATATATATTATATATTATATAGTATATATAACACAATTATATTGCATATAGAGAGAGACAAAGAGAAATAGAGAGGCATTTGGAGAGAGAAATGTACATGAGATCAGAATGTGACCATGTTAATTTTTCACTGTCGAAACATTAATTCAAATTCACGGACTCAAAACGTAAAAATTAACGTCACGCCGTCCACTGGCACAAGTAAAAAAAAATCACAATAATGATCCTGCATAATTAGCAAATTACCATGCGACTTTAGTAAGTTTGAGAGCCACAAATAATGAGTATGTAAGTAATCATTAGTTAGAAATATTTAGCGGGAACGAGCGCGCGGGGGATACGAGCGCGCGGCCATCTTTGTTCCCGCCTCGGCTTTCGTTTCCGCTGAAATTTCATTCCTCGTGCCTCTGTTGGTTGGAAAATCAAGTGAGTCTTACATGTTAACATTTTCGTTAATTACTGTGATTATTTAGCAATGGAAATCAGAGCATTTGATTTGCAGAAAACTCCCGGTAATAAGTCTTCAACATTTTACATTCCGCAAACGAAGCGACATTTTTTTAATGATACATCGGTTTCCCTTCGAAATATCTTATTCTAAAAAAAACGGCCACAACACTTGCACAATTTCGTCCGTTACACATCAACATCATCTGAATAATCATTTTAAATTACGATATCTTTTTATACATATATATACGGTACATGTATACGTAAGGCCAGTCTCTTTTGCCATCGCTCATCGCCAGGCGAAAAATTCACAACATTATGAATCCGTTTTATGACGAGGCCTGTCAGCGCCCCTCCCCTCCCCCTCCCCCTCCTCATCTTTATGGGACAGGCCTTACATTATTATCGCAATACATGCACTTGTCCCCCTGTTATCTCTCATCACTCTTATCGCTACACAGAAAATCCATAATCATACACTCTTCCTCCTCTTCTACTCGCTAAGGAACCCTGAGAGAGTCTTTGTCACTCTCGCCACCATCATCATAATCATCATGATCATCATAATCTACACCTATATTCCTCAAGGGTAAAAAAATCACCTAAGACTCACCGCGGGGACGCCGCCCACATGCCAGCCTCTGCTGAGGGAGATGGGATAGAGAGCGAGGGAGATGGAGATAGATGGAGAGCAAAACAGTTGGAAAGACAGATTGATACAGAGAAACAGAGATAGAGAAAGTAGGAGAAAGATACACTTTGAGAGAGAGAGAGAGAGAGAGAGAGAGAGAGAGAGAGAGAGAGAGAGAGAGAGAGAGAGAGAGAGAGAGAGAGAGAGAGAGAGAGAGAGAGAGAGAGAGAGAGAGAGAGAGAGAGAGAGAGAAACAGAAAGCGCGAAAGAGAAAGAGAGAAGAAAGACAGACAAAAAAAAGACCAGAAACAGCAGATGAGCGGAAATGAGACCCGAGGCGGCAGCAGCCGCAGAGGCCACGCAGCGACGTCCCGAACTCTGACTCGTCTAGCTTGGAGCACCTTTGGTTCACGTTCGGCCTACACTAAGCGACTCGGCTACACACAAGGCTAAGTTGGCGTCTGGAGCAAAAATCGTCTTGTCTTCCTCCTTCCCGCAGGCACACACTTCTCCGCACGGTCGAGGTCACACTTGGAAAATGATTTCTTTCTAAGCAGGTCAAGGGTGGTCGGTGTGGCGGAGGTCGGGGCAGGGGGAGAGGGGGGAGGGTGAATGCGCTGGGATCGAATAAGATGGTACGATTTTCTTCCTTTTTTGAGGGGAAGCCATGATAGGACAATGATTTTCCATTCACACAAAGGGCACACGTAAGTTTCCAGAACATGAGCGAATCATCTACGGTTTTCTCTTCCCCTCCGGCGATGTTTCCAAATCTAAGTGCAAGATCCCCTTCGATGCACGAGGCGGCTTCAGAGCATGCAACACACACCTATTCTTTCTGTTATTGACACTGATATCCATTTACTTTTGTTTCTTCCCCTCCGACTCGCCCCGACCTGCCCCCGCCCCGACACGCCCGACCGCCTGCCCGACCGCGCCGCCCCTAGCACCAGGACTCGGCGCCCTCGTCCAGGTCCGCCATGGGGTTGACGGCCTCGTGGTAGTCCCGGCGCTGCGGCGACTCCGGCAGCAGGCCCTCCCGGCTGCCCTTCGTCTCGGGCGTGGCGAAGGTGACCGAGGGCCCGTCCCGAGGGCGCCCCGGCCGTTGAGCGTCGCCAGAAGAGAAGCCGGGGGCGCCGTCGGCAGGGGGCTGAGCGGGGGAGGAGCTCTTGGGCTTCCCGCCGGGCAGCGTGTCCCTCTTGCGCCCCTTCGGGATATTGAAGTCGAACTCGCTGTCCTCCTCCTCGTCCG